TACTGGAAAGGATTTTCAAGTCTTTTGAAACATATCACTTTAGTTTCTGGTTCTGATATTGTCATATTTTAGTTTTGGGATTCGGACATCATTAATTTTGTGGTTGTTGGATGTCCTAACAGCGGAAAACGCCTTGAGAAATTTGTTTGCGAACTCCATAAATGCAAAAGGTAATCAGATGTGTGTGATTGCAAACCTCCGTTCAGACAGTTTCCCTTCCTAACAGAATTGAAAAATAGTGAAAGGCGAAGGCGATGGGCAGTATTGATACACAGGAAGGACGAGAAAGGAAACCTTTGACTGCCTAAATCATCCCGAGTTTGCAGCGAACATTTTGTATCTGGAGCACCATCAAAGCGGGATCCCGTTTGTTAAGCGAGAAGTGCAGAAGACAAACAGGCTGAGCTCGCACTTTCTTGTTTTTGTGGATTTACAGCAACAGGAGTCTTGGTTGCTTTGCAGTGGAAGTTGTTTCTTGGTGAACAACTGCTGCCTTTTGCTTTGGCGTTGACTTTAAATTCGTAACCGAGGTTGAGTCAGGGATCAGGAGTTTGCTTTGATGGTGCTCCACATACAAAATATTCACTGCAAACTCGGGATGATTTAGGCAGTCAAAGGTTTCCTTTTTCGTCCTTCCCATGGATCAATCCTGCCCATCGCCTTAGTTTTTCACTATTTTTCAATTCCGTTAGGAAGGGAAACAGTTTGAACGGAGGTTTGCAGTCACACAGATCTGATTCCCTTTTGCATTTATGGAGTTCGCAAACAAATTTCTTGAGCCGTTTTCCGCTGTTAGGACATCCAACAACCACACAATTACGATGTCCGAATCCCAAAACTAAAATATGACAATATCAGAATTAGAAACAAAAGCAATATGGTTCAAAAGACTAGAAAAGATTGGCTTTGTCAATAGACGCATCCCACTGGGAAAACAAACATGGCAGTTTGATGCTCACTTTTTAGGAAAGTCCTTCCCAGTATGCATTGCACAGTGACCGGAGGTCTGAGATTCTTGATGCATGTATTGATTTATTTATTTTATTTATTTATCATATTCTTTACCAGTTCCACTTAGGTTGATTTGTTGACCAGATTACCTAATTAAATAAGTTATCCAGGGAAAGTTGTAAAGGTTTTATGCATTTGGAACATTTTCTGGAGGCAAGACTGAAATGAACAGACCTAGTATATAATCTACATTTGTTCTGTACATGTTACATTCTCACAAGTGAGAAGCAACAAGCACAAGTGAGTCTGAACAAAGTCCAGGTGAGGGGACGGGGGAGGGGAAACTGGTTTCACATCTGCCTTCTACTCATGAAAAAAACAAAAAACTTGCAGATCGTAGCTTTAAAGTGAAACTGAGTGGAAACAAGGGCCAAAGCTTTTCTAATTTATGCAATAGTTATGATTTAACAAATAAACATTCCTGACAGTCATTATGTTATCTTAAATTAATGTTTGAACTGTCAGTAAACCCTCCTTCCAACTTTCCTTCACAAACCTGACTCATGTAAAACCATAGGCACTATGCCACTTTATGTATTTCACACTATGTATGGTAGATACATAGTAATATTAAAAAGAAGAACACACACATACATAATATATAAATTATGTAAAACTTTATTAGATGCCTAAACAAAACCATTCTTTAAAGACAAAATGCACACTTAACATTATATAATAACTCACTTAAAAATGATACTGTGAAATGCCTTACACCCTGCGATTGGGTTGTTGTTCGTTTGAGGATTACAAATGACACTGATAATAAATTCACTATTCACATTTATACAGATCAATAAAACCTCACATATTGTCTGCTACTTTCCAGTCTCTGGATCCAGGCTTTCTTATCTGCATTGTCAGAATGAGTTTGATTGACTTTCTAAACCATGGATAGAAAAATGCATAGATAACAGGGTTGAGACCTGAATTAAAATGAGCCAACCAAATCTCCACGTCAACTGAGGAAGCGTCCACTGCAGTATCCTTACCCACCAGACTGGGAACATAGTAGGGACAGAAACAACACAAAAAAACAACCACAACTATACCTAAAGTTCTGGCCGCTTTAAGCTCTTTCTTCTTTGCTGTCACATTTCCCAACTGTGGCATGGTTACAGATGAAATGTGGGAACGCAGTGCTCGGGCTTGAGACACAGCCACCACAAAAACCCTCAAATATAAGATGATGATGATGAGAATAGGAATGATAAAAGTGCATACAAGATCAATTGCACCAGCTATGTAATGAATAATAACCACACATTCACCAGCACAAGAGTTGGACATACCAGGATGTTCTAACTGATCATGCATTATCATCATTCTGTAAAGGACAGACAGAAGCCAACACAGTAAAATACACAACTTTGTCCTTTTCTTGGTCACTTTGGTGTGGTAGTTTAAAGGGTCACATATGGCAATGTAGCGATCAACAGATATAAGCACCATGTTGGCCACCGATGCGGAGGTGATGACATAATCAGTAAGGTAGTAGGCGCTGCAAACAATGTCACCGAGGTTCCAGCAACTCTCAATGTAAATGATTTCTACAGGCATCAAGACCAGGCCCACTAAGAGGTCGGAGACAGCCAGGGAGAGGAGGAGGAGGTTAGTGCGAGTGTGGAGCTGCCTGCAGAGAAAGCACAAAGGTAACTTAACAAGCTCAATAGAAAGATTTAGTTTAAAAATGCAAAAAGTCAATATTAGTAAAGACAGTGAACTTCTTGGTGCATCAGAAAGTCAAGTTATACAGTAGTCCTATGTATAGATTTAGTCATGCAGTATTTATTGCTCCTGCCATTTAATTTTGTTGTTGCACCAGAAAACAAATGAATAATATAAATTTGGCATGCATTGTTACCATTGGCATGAAAAAGGTACAGAAAGAAGATAAGTCATATAAACCTTGCTCATAACATGTTAAAATCAATAGTTTGGTCCATTAAGCCATTATGACATATTATGAATCACATCATTGTCACAAGCTTGTTCCTTCACAAATCAGCTGCTAAATAAACATAAAAGAAAGGGGAAAATAGTACCATACATTTGAAATAATACTTTCACAAAAACTTTAAGCAGAGCCAATATGAAATCAACCTGAATCATTTGATCTGTTATAAAACAACAGTGACGTTAAAAGAAGCCATAAAAAAAAGAAAGCAATATTCACATGGTTTTATGGTTCAAGCATATTAATCACCACCCTGAAAACATATTCTGTAATTATTGAGCAGAGTATTTTAAGGATACATGTAGACAGTAGTTTGTTGCGAAGAGAACAGCTATAGTATGTGATTTGTGTTCATACAGAGATGAGCATGTCTGCAAATAAAATCAGATGCACATACCAACTATTCAAGAAAACCACTCACAGGGACAATACAGACCACAAGTATTCACAAGTTTGCACCCAATGCCGTATTTGGAACGATTACAAAAGCAGTCTGCGATTAACCTGAAATGAGCGATGGAGATGATGACAAGCAGGTTGAGAGCCACAGTAATGAGAGAAATACAGGACAGTAGCACGTATATGAGCATGGCCTCCACATAAGGGTGAGTGGGTTTCCTGCACGAGTAGTTCAGATGGGGGTAGCAGAAGATCTCTTGGTCCAGGGCGCCCAACATGGTGAGATACAGAGGAGAGGTGGAGTCCAGAGCTCTAGAAGAGAGTGTCCACTAAACATTGACTTATATATGTTCCTCTGACGTCAGCTAGCATGTCTGCTGGCTAAATGAGCTCTTTGAAAACCACTGAGGTCCATAGGGAATTGTTGTGGGCAATAACACTTTTAGATGGTGATCTGTTTGTGAAGTGTTTGTGTGATAAGAAACAAACAATATTGAAAGTATTGTTTCATGTTACATCTCTGTTCCCCTTACTTTTAGACAAAATAGCACCAAATCTCAAAATAGACCCACAATATTTTGGGGTAGGCCAATAACATAACAGATAAAATACATTTTTATAATGTGAAAAATATTTATAATATATTATATTATATAATCATTTTGCAGCCCTAGCTGAGTGCCACGCGACCCCCTCTTTGGGGAATGCTGAAGAAGACTAGTTTCTATTAAAGGGGGAGCATGAGAGCACTCTTGCCCCAGTCCTCAAAAAGTCAATAAGCCTGTTTGCATGTACAAAATGTGCTCAATGTGTATGTTTGTATATGTAAATTGCTAACTCAAATTTAGTATTGCATTCATCCCAATTACCGGCAAACAACCATATAAACTAAAACAAATTCATATTATCGTATGTCTGTAATTGCTTTTATTTATGCCATATTCTTTACCACTTCTAGTGAGGTTAGCTTCTTAACCAAATAACTGAAGTAAGTAAGTCATCCAGGGAAAATTGTAAATGTTTGTGTATTTAGAACATTTTCTAGAAGCAAGACTGAAATAAGGTAGAAAAGATGCACTACCAGTCAAAACTGTGGAATTGTGGAAGAAGGCCTTTGAGTGGGTACAAGGCATAATAATCTTTAGGCCTCTGAAATAGTCTACTTCCTGTTCTTGCTCTAAACACATTGTTATGTAATGATGAGCTGTGGTGTTGAAAACAGTGGTTGCATCATGTGGAAGGTTAGCTGTTGTTTTTCCACACCTCTGATTGCATAGGTGTGAATGTGCAGTAGCACTCTCAGATGCAGTACTCACAGGTACGCTCTCAAAGCTCCGCTGAGCCACAAGACAAATTAAAGGTGTTAATGGCATCATTTGACTTGCCCTATCAGCTTTGATTAAAGTTTGATGTAGTTTTGTAAAGAAAGTAGCACATCCACCATAGCGAAAACCTTTATTCAAATAATCAAAGCAGCAGTAGAGGCTGTTTGTGAAAGTGTCTACAGTATATACTACTATCATGTCACCACCCAGCAGAAAAAATATACAGTCCAGTACAATTGTCTGTTTTCAGCAGCTAAAATGCTATGCTTGTAGACTGAAATTGTATGTCTTTTCTACATTACCTGTCATTACACGTACTTCTGAACAAAATAAGGTAAAGACTACAATTATTATATTGCACAACGGCCCCTTAAACCATCCTAGGAATGTATATAGGAACACCAAAAATATGAAGAATCAGATACGAAATTAAGATAATCTCGAGAGGCTCCGAGCCACTCTCTTATGTTGAGACCTTTTTACCATGGAATCCACCTGAAAACACAATTAACATAATTTAGCTGTCCAGTACAAGAGTTCAGCTAATAGAGCTCAGATCAATTGTGTAAAAGCAGCCATAATTGTCAAAATCTGCTGTTTTTTGGCAGCAGAGAAACACATCCATAGAGAAGAATTAGCCAAATCAAATTTAAAAGTTATGAAAAGAGCAGTGGAACAGCACAATAAGCTGCTTAGTCACTGATGATAAGTCAGTCAGTATATCACTCTGTAGTGTAGAATACTTTTGAATTCATGAATTTTAGTATTATGACAATATGCGGGACAACACAATCCTGAGCTCTATACATTACAACACAATACAACATGAAAAATTATGTTTGTTAAGAGTAAAATTCAACTACCTAATGGCTCCATGCCATAGTGATAAGGCCCGGGGTTTGATCCACATAGTTGGACGTAATGGATCGACGTCTCCTGCTGCGTGGGTCACATTTCTGAAGGAGACGCAGAAGTTACAACAAAGCTCAAATGCAGGTCTAAGAACAGTCTAATGCTCATTCCTTAAAAAAAAAAAAAACTAATCAACCCAAAACTGAGAAAATATTATGATTAAATGAGACTCTTACCTTGGCACAAGAGTTCTCCTGACTAATACACAGCATGGTTTTGCAGTGCAGGTAGATGTTGCCCGCTCTCCCAATAAACTGGAACATGTTGAAGGAGAAGTCGCTAGACAAACCCTGTCCGTTGTTTATCACCTTTACAGACTTATCCACTGGGTTAGGGCAGCTGCAAACCCAGAAAAGCACAACATCACCATTAGTCTTAGCATAAACATAATTCAAATGCTGAACGTTATACACTTACCCATTTCCAATGAGGCTGTACTTCAAGCTGCTGTTTGGTGAAGGCTCAGTGCTTGCCCAGCATGAGTCAACAACCAAAGACAACAGTTTTTCATCAAGTCCATCAATCTCCAGTTGAAGGTAGACCGTCTGATCCAGGTTTATCTCTGTGTCTGGAGTAACGGCATGTTTGTGGCCCTTATCAGTGTACACAGTCATGGACAGGTTGTATGTCCATTCTCCAGCTGTAAGCTCCTGTCGGACTGAGCTAGAAGCAATATAATTAAAGGTTCCATATTACACTATTTTCTGCTCTGTGTTACAATGTGCTTTTCTTATAATGAACATGCCTGAGGTTGTGTTTTATTTCACTGACACATGTTTAATACACAAACCCTGCATATTAAGGCTCGACTAACTTCTTTTCTCAAACCGAAAACACTCTATTCCACCTTGTGACATCATGTGATAAAACAGTGTTCCACTGTGCTCCATTCCATACAATCATTTGGATGATTTCAGCCCTGGAATTGCCAATCTTTACTGAACTAAAGATAAAGTTTAGCTGTTGTCTTGAAAACCAACACTTACTGTAATTCCATCACCAGGTGGAACAGAGCAGTTTGAGCTTTAGAGATGTAGACAAACTAATAATAAAGGATTATTCAAACATGCATGATTGAAACAAAACACAATTTTAGGTATGTTTTTCAGGAGGTAACAACATGATATGGTTTAATGCTCACAAGAGTCAGTCTTGTATAATACTATAGTTTAGTCAACATGGCAATAGCTTACAAACAATACACAATAGAACATGTCACTTAAGCATTAAACATTATTTAAAGTGGACATATGCTATTTTGACTTCATTTGGCTATATTTTCAGCAGTTAGATTTGCATTAGATAGGCCCCTGCTGACAGAAATATACATGAACCATGAAAAAAGTCATTTAGCAACAGGACATCGTGCTAATTCATCCATGAGTTTGCAGTGATTCTAATCAGAGTGTAAAAAATGTCTGTCTCATGGTTTAAGAACATAAAACTACAAATAGAGCAATACATGTTTTTCTTGGTTACATGTCAACAAATATAATATGCAAATATAGCCTTTACTTTTGCAACTATGTAGGAAAATATAATTTACAAACCCAAGGCCTCACCTGTCTCTAATCCGGATGGCCAGAGACTTGACAGCTGGCTGCACGTAGTGACAGGAGAAATCCAAGTGCACCTCTTCATGCCTAGTTATGATTCCAAAGTTGGAGCTGTTCCATGTCTTAATGCTGTTGTGGTAGATGATTTTACTGCCATTTGACTGCAAAACACAATTCCAGATGTTTTTGCAGTAACACAATTATATTTTATTATAGTTTTCTCAGTGGGAAACTCAGTGGATCTTGATGTCAGTTAGTCAGTGTTCCTGTTCCATTTTAAAAGACACCGACTATAACACGGACTTGCCTTGACCACAGTTCCACAGGTGTTGATCTTGTCGAAGCTGAACGTCACCATATGAGTCTCATTGTCCATCTGTCCCACACAGGACTCATTGTTCATATGCAGGACCTTGTAGTCAATGCCACTTTCCATCAGGAGACAGCCAGCCATGGTCAGTGTGGCTGTGTTATCCTTGCACACAGTCGGCTCACCTGGACACATCATTCAGTCTATTTAAAATTAGAACTGAGTAGCCTACACTTGACAGCGTTATAAAATTACAAGAAAAAAAAGATATGACATTACTTTGTTACCTAAGGAGGACAGGGCACATGACGACTGACTTACCAAACGTGTTCATTGGTTTGTATTTAGAAGCAAAGATCGCTCTGCAGAGACATCCAGATTCATATCCATTTTTTTTCTCTCCACAAAACTCGTGTTCACTGCAATACATGTTCTGGCAACTGGCCTGAGTTTCATCTGTCGAGAATAATACATGAAAAACTATTATTTTGTATGCCACTCAATGCTTTAAAAATACTCAAAACCTTTTCGAAAGCGTTTGTTACTTGACAATATTTTATGAAAACATACTTTAGAAACTGTAATATGTTTTCTCTAAAAAACATATAATTACTAATTTGGAGTCATAGTTGTTTACTGAAATATGCCTATTACATTAACTGGACTTGTATTGTTAGTCTTACCACATTTGATTTGTGATTTCCATCCCTCTACACTGACGTTGTGCATTGAACATGCCCTGCTGTAGGCCTCCAAGAACTGACAGTTGAATCCATCCACTGCAGGGTATTTGCACAGGGCACTAGAGCAGGCCGAGATGTAGGGCTCTGGGTCCACCACCAGGTTACAGGAGGAGAAAGGCTGCTGTCTCATGACGTTACACCTGGACAGTGTGAAGCGGGTACATTTAGCATGAAAGAAGTCATATTATAGTAGATCTAATCTTTACTACCATTTAGCTGTTTCATTGCAGTTGATTGAAACATCGGCATCTTCGTCATAGGTTGTCTCACAGCTGAATTTCAGAGACATGGGAAAGAAAAAGACTGCAGTCATTACATTGCATTTTTATATTTATTTTTATAACCATATCTGAAGAGTTTTTCTGCCAAATGTGCTCTCCTCAAAGAAATCCCCATTGTAATTCACACACCTACTGGCCTTTGGAAGTGAGCATCATGGACAGGCTTCTGGAGTTCATAATTGCTAAAGCTACATCCAATAACAACTGAATAAGAAACCAATTTGCACCCATCCCGGTAGTCATGAATAAAATAAATGATTTATTTTCAGTGTCCTGTCCATTTCCAAATTTCTTTAGACAAGTAATATAATTATTTTACATGTAAATGTTTCTTCAAAGAATATTTTGTGTGCTATCTGTGAAACCACCACCAGATGTCACTAAAGAACATATGTTGCACACCTAGCAGTTCATCCACATGCAATGAACTGAAAATCTTCTTACCCACTCTCACTGAGATCAGAATGCTTCTCATTCGCCAAAGTGGTGCTGGTGTTGCCACATAACCCAAATACTGGAGCCACCTTTGGTCCTAAAGTACAAAAACAAATGTATTTATTCATAAATTTTGGTAGATTAAACTGTTGCTGGTTGTACCTGTAACACGGATCTGTGCAGTGTGACCATTGAAATGTATTGAGGCAGTGTAAGCAGAGGCGCTGACTTCCGCTGTTAGTCCAGTTGGACCTTTAGAAACTTTCACTCCATGGACCACCTTTTCTGGTGTGTTAAATGGCAGCACTGCATCATTTACCTAATGCACAAAATAGTAAAAATATAATTAAACTGCTATTTATGGAAATGTTTAAACAAGAAAACTGCTGTCAAATTGAAATCCTCAGATTCCCGGTAGTCTTATTAAATGAGTTATATAGTCACATAATGATCTTTATTTATTCATTTATTTATTATTTAAAATTAAACAATCAAAACAGAAATATTGTCTCCTTACTTCATCTGAGACTAAGACATCACATTCTTCTCTCTGAAAACAATGTGTTTTAAACCAACCTTAACCCTTCCTCCTTGTTCTAGTGAAATGTCCACATTGGAGGACTTGAGGTGCAGTACCACCCGCTCTAAAAAGCTGACATCTTTACGTCTTCGTTCCTGGAAGACCCCCAGCACCTCCAGGTCTGGGATGGAAGCATGCTCCATCAGCTTGTACCCACATCGGTCTGGGACAGTGTGGAGTTCTCCAGTGACGTCAATAATGGTTGAACCTGTCACAGTGCAGGTGGCGTCTAAGGTACATCTGAAAAAGAAAAAAAGATTTTCAACTATGTTCTTTTGTTCTGTAAATATGATAATCACATGTTTTAAGCCATATAACTATGTGCACTGCAGTCAAAGAGTTGTTTTAGTGAGATACTCAGCCCCTAAAACATGAAGCAATTTGAGTTCAGACATCATTGACTTGTCAGTCATGACGGTAGAGTAGTGTAACTGGTTAGACAATATTCATTAGACTTTCAACAGTAGAGTAGTTTTAGTTTGTTGACTTTGTTTGGACTAAAAATGACTAGTTGTGACTGAGAAAGATTTTGGGTAATGTGTGTCATTTAAGCATATTCAGAAAACGAACATAGTATTTACATGTTGTTTCCCTGGCAGCGCTCCATGGGCCCACAGGTACTGTCTGGTGTGGCCACCCCAAACACATCACAAGTGACTGTGGAGCAGATGTCTGCGTTCCACTCACTTGTGTTGGTCTTGTACACAGAACCTGAGAGGTACACCACTGTTACACAATCTCCACTCAAACATAGATACAGTTCCTGTTATAATAAAGAAGAATTAAATGTACCAAAAAGTCTGCAGCCGCTCACGTCTGCCAAAACTCCCTTGTTGGTCTTATTGGTGTGAAAGACCTGTCTCACCATTGACTTCCCATTGACCAGAGTCTGTGTTTCCTGGAAAAAGACAAATAAAAACTTGTGGGTTTGGGTTTAAGGTTTATATTATGTGATTTTTCTGGTGGTGGGTCTGCCACCTGCTCATCTCCATGGAAATGTCATTGCAAATTGCACTCTTCAAATAAACTTGCCTTGCCTTTGCATGGAATGTTCCATGGCATTAAACTTATCTTAATCTATGGACAAGAACAGGTGGCAGCACAAGTTAAAGGTGAAATCTGTGGAGAGGCAATGTCGCTCACTAAAAGTCTTATTGCTTTTCAATGTATTTTTATATGAATATATATATGAATAATGAATAAATGTAAGAAATATAAGTGTAGTGGAATACTGTGGAACATTCCAGACAAAGCAAGTGGTGGATCCTTCACTAGAAAAGTTAAATAATGTATGCCAAAAAAAAGCATAAAAACAGAAACAACTATTTCAGTCATTTCACACTCACAAAGTTGTCATCTGAAAATCCTAAGTGAGTCTTGATTGCCACAATTGCTTGAGTCCCAAAGTTTCCCAGTTCAATTTGTTTAACCTGAGAAAGATAGAGGTTATAAATGATATGTTACTGCACAATAACATAACCTGTAAGAGATGTGGCTATACTCACATCAGAGTCCAGTTCATCTCTCAGAGGGATGACATTCACACACTTCCCTGCATGCATCAGATTTGGCACAAGTTTGTGAATGCCTGATCCTGCAGGTATGTCTCTGCTCAGAGTGGTCACTTCTCCTCTGTCAGCTGACCCTCTGGACATCAGAATACAGTCACTGCCCTGCCCAGACTGGTACTGTCCATTGAAGCACAGTGAAGATGTGTTGGAATTAAAGCCAACCTGCAAAAGCCAGGAAAATCCTTTGTAAACAACATTAGTTTTAAGAAATAAATGCACATTAAAGCATATTTTTGTTTGCCAATTTGTTTATTTTTTAGGTTTTCCTTTTTACTGAGATAGTTATAAAAAGTGTAGTGTTGTATAGTAGTGCTGATTGAAATACAAGTCAAATTAATAAACTTGAGGATTTTCCAGTGCATGTCTACAGTCTCTGTATGTAGGGTTCAGAGCTGTCACATAAGTTTGCTTTCACATGAATGCATTATTGGTAATTTAGATTCTTTTGAGACTGGAAACAGGTTTCTGGTTGGAATTTCAATGCACTGTCTACAACAAAGGATTTCTCATTATAGGGTTGGAGCAGTGCCAAACATCTGTCAATCTATACAGAACACAATGTTTTTACCCAAGACCATTAAATAACATTGTATACCAATTAAAAATATTACATTTTCTGTAGTGTTACTCACATAAACTTTGTCATATTTCATCCCATAATAAGTGATAGGACAAGCAGCGATGTCGATCTCTGCAGAGCTAATGAAATCCTGGTTTACAGCAGCACAGACTACATGGTTATAGATAAGAATAAGTCACCTCAGTGTACAGTTATGATATTATGTTACATGAGAAAGTCATTTGTGTTAGAAATACAGGTCTTACCTGCAAGCAGGCTGAGAGCAGACAGCAGTTTGGGTGAAAGCATGTTCAGAGGCCCTTTATCTGTGTAAAAATGAGGTTCAGAAGGACTGTAAAGCACAATTTGCATAGTTGTGTTTTGATTTAGCTTTGATTTAGGCCAGTGCCGCCTCAACATTGTCTTCGGTATACTCGTGATTAAAAACTCACTGACTATCAGAAAACATTATTATCAATGTATTTATGTGTGTTTAACTGGGAAAAAATATAAACAATATACAAATTCTTATTGGACTCAAAAATATATTCAATGTCATGCATTTTTCATTTCATTATTATTATTATTATTATTATTATTATTATTATTATTATTATTATTATTATTATTATCCACAAAGATACCTACATACATATTCTTATTTTGTTATGAATTATATAACTATTATATTGATTGAAAATCTAGTAATAAAGATTTTTGTTTTAAAAGTTTCTTACCAAACTATTGTATCCTTTGAGGCAGAGGAGTTCAGTAGTTTGTAAAGGCTTGTTATGGTCCACAGGTTGTCCTGTGCAGATAGCAGCGTTGAAAACATATATCTGATCTTTTACCTGTGGGTTTGTCTTGAGCATTACAGCTTTAGGCCCTCCTTCTTGTTTTCATGTCCCTGCCCTGTTCCTGAGCTCCACAACCAAAAATAAAAAAAGACATTCTCACATTCTTCAGTGTTGACAAATGCGTGTCTTTGGTGTCTGTCACAAGGTATTGTAGTTTTTAAACACCATGCAATTAACATCAGTGATGAAGACATGTGACAAGTTGACAATGTTCTTGTACTACAACGTTACACCTGTCATTCTTATAATGAGCCCATCACTGTTAAACACGCAAGTACTTTTGGTACTCTATTAATAGAACTATACAATAGTAGACATTTGTCTCAGAATATGTACAAATTATTCCCACAGTGACTAGTTTACTGGAAAACATCTAAAATGAACATAGTATTTTTTTTTTCCAACACATTGTGGGCAAAAGAAGAATTAAAGACAAAAAAGAGCTACAGTTCAAAAATATTTTCTGGACTGTAACAAGGTAGGAATCCTATTATTAGTATTAGTTTTACCTCCAGAGAAAATAAAACCGGTCAAACTAACCTCAGTGTGAGAATAGTGAGGCTAAAGAAGCTGTCAGTCACTAGACATAGAACAATGCTCAAAACCTGAAAGTGCAGAGCCCTGGGCTTTGTAATCCCACCCCTCCACCCAGTTCCCCAATCACCCCCCCGGCTTTAAATAATAATAAAAAGCATGTAATAAAATATGGTGCCTGTGCAAGTTTCAGGTTGATGGGGGAAACCCAAGCAGCCTGAAAATAACCAACCAAATGCAATGAGAACATAGATACATAGGTGAAGGGTGGGATCATGTCCCCCTGCATGATAATGAGGGATCTACCCATGCCACATGTGGCCCTTCTCAAATAAAAAAAAAAAAAATTAAATAAAACACCATTCTGTCTCTCTTCATATTGGTGACTACACTTCTAATATTTATGACCAAAACAGCCCCTCAATAGAGAAATGCAGCAGGTGGGAGAGTGTAATTGCAAATGTAATTAGATGTCAAATAGGTCACATTGTATGATAATTTATGTAATCCAAGAGAATATGTTATATATCAGGCTCTGTGTCATGGCATGTTTTCAAAATGAAGTGTGGTGGGGCACTGGAATTCATTAATTTGTGAACGGGGCTACAGATAGCAGTGATCTTACCCCTGGAGGTAGGCCTTCATGTCAGAAGTGTATATCTGATGTATTCACCAGTAGTTATTATTATGAGGTACATTTATGCATATTTATATTTATTAAAACTGCTAAATACCCAAAATACATGCATGTATTGATGAGAATTATGTAAAAGATTTTCCTCACTATTACAATGGCTCCTTAAACCCAAGACCTCTGCAGCTCCTTTGAAGATATCACACAACTGTCTAAGCAATGGACAAAGATGAACCTGCAGTGTCTTAAATACACAGATATGTTAAGGTTTTCATGACACCCTCATAGAACTATAGTTACCTCAAGTACCTATGTGGAGTTTATGTATTTCTTTATTTTACCTTTATTCAACTAGGAGGTCACATTGAGATTCAGAACCTCTTTTCCAAGCGAAACCTGGCCATAGTAGCACTCAGCACAATCAATACAAAGCAAGTTACGGTAAATGAGAATGAAACATATAGGTAAAAATATTTTTGTCAAACTTTTTACTTTATACTTCTTTTGCAATGCACTATACAGAATATAATTCTTAATGCTAAACATTTCATCAGTATCTCTCAATGGGCCAAACTTGGTATCCACCCCCCAACCAATGTGAGGAGTAGGAGGGGTATAGAGGATGTTAAATGGCCTTCTGGCTTTCACTAAACACTTACTGTCTCATCATGCTGAGATGGAAGCCACAATAGACATATCTGATCTATGTTTTCCACAAATGCTCAATGCTTCTTGTAAAAAGATTGTCCGACCTTACTTCACTGCTATGCTGGTGTACACTGTGCTCTATGTTATTTCACTGGTGACTACTACTCTCAACCTGCTGGTTATCATTTCAATTTCACACTACAAGTAATGTTGTTGCCTATCTGTACTCTGTGATAATTTGATGCCATGCTTTATTGGGAAAGATCTTGATTTGTTTCTCCTCTCCAGGCAGCTCCACAGTCCCACCAACTTCCTGCTCCTCTCACTGTCTATCTCCGACTTCTGTGTGGGACTCCTTATGTTTTTTCAGATTCTCTTTGTGGATGGATGCTGGCTTCTTGGTGATATATTATGCCTTGTATACCAGTTAGTGTCCTTCATAGTAACCTGTGCTTCAATGGGAACAATAGTGCTTATATCAGTGGACCGCTACATTGCAATTTGCCAGCCTTTACATTACTACACTAAAGTCACTGAGCGTAGAGTTAAGTTTTGTATATGTCTTTGCTGGTTTTGTTCCACTTTTTATAACTTAATGGTGCTTAAAGATAATATGGAAAAACCAGGCAGCTTCAGCAGTTGCTCTGGAGAATGTGTGGCTGCTATTAATTACTCTGTGGGCCTGATTGACATCTTCATATCTTTTATTATACCTGTCAGTGCCATTGCTGTTTTATACATGAGAGTATTTGTTGTGGTTGTGAGCCAGGTTCGGGCAATGCACTCCCAGATCACAGCAGCGAAATCACAAAGAACAGTATTAGCAAATAAATCTGAACTTAAAGCTGCCAGGACTTTAGGGGTTGTCATTGTAATGTTCATTGTTTGCCTATGTCCTTATTACATTGTTGTAATAGGCCAGGATGCTTATTTTAATGCTTCATCTGCAGCTGTTGTAATCTATTTGATCTATTTCAACTCCTGTTTGAATCCACTGATATACACGTTTTTCTACCCCTGGTTTAGAAAATGTCTCAGATACATAGTGACACTTCAGATACTGCAGCATGGTTCTAGTAGGGCCAGTATAATGTGAGGGGACAAAGGAAAAAGAAATCAATCTAACATATAGATTTCAGTCTATTTTTCCAAATAAATTATAATTTTATGCAAAACTGTCTTTATTGTCTTATATGTGTCTGAAGCAGGAGACTGAACATGCACTGTTTAAGAAAAGGGGTTCTGAAATGATTGCTGAATGTTATTATTTACTAGTTGTTAAAAATGCTACCTTAAAAAATACTGTATTTTTTCAGTGTTTTCAAAATGTTCAACTGCTTCATTGGACATGCACACAGATTTGTTGGACACTGGACCTTGGACACTGAGTTAGTGTACGGTCTAGGCCAGGGGTGGGCAAACTTTTCGGCTCGCGGGCCACATAGGGTCCTAAAGTTTGGCTGAAGGACCGGACAGAAAATAAGACATAACGTGTTAAGAGCTCGACTTCATGACATCATCACGTTTATGTAGACACATAAAAGCGAATAAATCTGTTCCACTGCACACGACATGGAAATAAACATCATGAGCTCAACGTTCACAAATTTGAGTAAAAATAACTCAAAGTCAAACAGTCACACACAGACACCTGCAAATGCAGTAAAACTGGACACTATGAAGTTGCACTTATTGACATTTACATCTCAGAATTTTCAAGTTTTCTAAGTTTTACTTTTACCAACTTAAAATGGAAGCAGTGCAGTCTTATATCTTGAACACCAACTACTTCACTCATGGTCCGAATAACTCTGGTAAGAACACTTTCCCATAAAGCATTGCGGCCAATATAATACGCCGCACCTCAACGTATATGTAGTGCGCCATCTACTGGGAAACGCTGGAAATGCATGACAAATAAAACATCAACAAGGTTTATTTTTGTAATTTCTTCCAGTTCGGCGGGCCGGATTAAAAGGTTTAAAGGGCCATATACGGCCCCCGGGCCGTAGTTTGCCCACCCCTGGTCTAGGCCATTACAAATCATTCCTTATGAGTAATTGAAAAGGGATCTAATTTCTAATAGCCAATTTTCACTTTTGTTTTGTTTTATTTTTTATTAATTTACAAAATGAATCTATGTTTTCAGTTTTAATCAACAAAAATATGACACTGACAGAACATATGACAAAAATTTTCATTTACCAAAATAGCACTTGCCTCATTTACAAACAGGCTAAGACATTATATTGAGTTAATGATTGAATACTTAAACTCCTTAAAAAGTAATATGGTTACTGTATCGGTCTGTTGAGCTGTGGAGGAAACACAAAGTTCTTCTGTTTCTCTGTTTTTCTATGTGTAAGACAGTGCATTTAACATGTATATTTTGTACTGAAAATTCCATTGTTTTAGTGTGTTTTATCTTTGTATCATGACAATACAAACTGGGAAGTGCAGTTTTTCATAATTATAAATGTCATGCCACTAGAACACATACTTGCAACAGATGTTTTTTTGTTTTGTTTTGTTTAGTTTTTTTCACCACTGCAATTATTTTTGAAGGTTGTATATTACGCAGAATTGACAGTTGGGAGCTTTAAGTCATGTTGGAATGTTGTTACGTCATCAGAAACATACGTGGAGAAACCCTTTATCATTTGTCTGGTTCTATCTCCAAAGTTCATCTTCGGAGATCTCATAAAATTTTTTGATGTCATGAAGCTGTAATTTTCAAATTAATAGCTACCTTTTACCTTTCATTTAGAAGAGACTGGAAATTCCAGCTCTGAAATTATCCAAATGATTCTAGTAAAGGTTGAGTTTAAACCATGCACAGTGGAGCACTTCCTGTATTCCCACATGACATTTTCTGTTTGAGAAAAGAACTTATTCAGGATTTGTGTGTTAAACATGTGTCAGTGAAACAAAACACAAGTCTCGGTATGTTTGTGATGATGAAACAACATTATAACATGAAAAATAGTGAAAATAGCATAATATGGGATCTTCAGTTCTTGATGCAAACTTTCCCTCCCCATGAGCACATGCAGGCTACAGTGGGAGGAGGAAATAAACTTATATAGGTCAGATGGAGAGATGCCCAGATGCTCATTCTCTCTCAGACTAAACATGTAAAGATGGAGACAGCAGAAGAAGATAACTTATGTTTTCCACAAATGCTCAATGTTTCTTGTAAAAGGATTGTCCGGCCTTACTTCACTGCTATGCTAATTCACACTCTTCTATATCTTCTTTCATTGGTGACTACTGTTTTCAACCTGCTCGTTATCATTTCAATCGCACACTACAAGTAATTACACTTTATTCAACAATCTTTCAAATGCAATTGCTTATCTTGGCTGGACCTTAAATGTCTCTCTTCTTCAGACAGCTCCACACTCCAACCAACTTCCTTATCCTGTCATTGGCGGCGTCTGACTTCTGTGTGGGACTTCTTATGTTCTTTCAAATTCTGTTTGTTGACGGATGCTGGCTGCTTGGCGATGCAGTGTGTATTGTGTATCAGCTTGTGTCATACATTGTTACCAGTGCTTCATTGGGGACTATAGTGCTTATATCAGTAGAGCGTTACATTGCCATTTGCCAGCCTCTACATTACCATACTAAAGTCACTGACAATAGAGTTAGATTCTGTGTATGTCTTTCCTGGTTTTGCTCAACGCTTTATAACGTAATAGTGCTTAAAGACAGTGTGACACAAATGGGAAGCTTTAACAGTTGCTATGGGGAGTGTGGGGCTGCTATTAATTACTTTGTGGGTATAATTGACATCTTAGTTTCATTTCTTATTCCAGTTACTGCCATATCTGTTTTATATATAAGAGTATTCATTGCTGTTTTGACCCAGGTTCGGGCCATGCGCTCCCACATTACAGGCGCAAAATCCCACAGAGCAGTATTGGCAAATAAATCAGAACTAAAGGCTGCCAGGACATTAGGCATCATCATTGTGATGTTTATTATATGTCTGTGTCCGTATTACATTTTGATAATAGGACAGGATACACTGTTCAGCACTATTATATATCTCATTTACTTTAACTCTTGCTTAAATCCAGTCATCTATACTTTTTGTTACCCCTGGTTTAGAAAATGCCTAAAATATATTGTCACACTTCAGATACTGCAGCCTGGCTCCAGTAAGACCTGCATACTGTCCAGTGATAAATAATGTGTTAGTATGAAATGAACTCTTAATAATAATGATCTAAAAATGTGTGTGTATTGTTACAGGGTAAGTATGTAGTAAGTTAAGAATACAAACACTTTGATATGATATTGAAAATATCCTTGTGCCTTGTGCTTTTCAGAATCAAAAAGTACTAAGATTTGTTGCATAGAAGCTGAAATCCATGAAATAGGTGTAAATATGACAGATTTAGAATTCAGTCCTTTTAGTCACTAAAAAACTCATCACTAATACCAGTCATAATAACATTTACAATAAATGTGTTGGAACATTGCAATAAACAGGAAGTTACATAAAAACCAGGTGTGATCTCTTATTAAGAAATAAACAATTTCATATGCTCACAGATTTGATTAGTTATCAGCCATGTTTTACATTATTTTTAAAAGTGTTATATGTAGCACAGTATATGTCTGTGGCTGGAAGGGGTGAAGATGACATTTATTATTTTAAGAGTGGGCTCAAGATAAACCCTTTTTAGCTCATTCTTTCATCTGTTTTATTATTATGAGCATTTGTATTTACTATTTTATATTATGTTCAAGTATTACTCTCTTTCTACCCAAATTTGTATAGATGCCTTTTTGTACATTTTGTTTCCTTTGTAGGAGCCCTCTGTGCCAGGAGAGGTAGTCAGCTGCAGCTGCCTGTCTCGTAGGCTCCTGGGGCGCTGTGTGGGCCTCGTCTCTCCCCTGGGCCTTGTGTCTGTGTCCTGGTGACTGAGTGTGGCTCTCTGCTCGGCTGTTGTGTGGGTGGTTGGTTGGAAAGTTGAGTAGTTTTTCCATGATTATAAAGCACTTTATTGTATGAAAAGATAAATAAATAAAGTCTGATTTGCCTCAGTATTCCACATAATTAAAAGTAACAGAGGAGCTCAGAGCATGGAATGTGCAGTTCGGTGGTTGAGGCGGAGGTGCTTCGGTTCTCCGGATCAGTTCAGTTGGATTTTATTTTTACCAGAGTGACTGCAACCTTTTCCCTGAATAAATAAATAGTTATCACGCAAACACATGGTGTTGTGCAGTGTTTAAAGGCAGTGACCACAACAGCAGAGCAGAGCTCAGGTCCTCGTGTGAGTGTCATAGCAATAAGACCAGTCCCACACTGAGCTGGAGCCTGAACTGGGTGCAGTCTGAGCCAGTACAGTCCAGTATGACACATAATCATGCAATGGACGTTTTTAATCACTGGAAATTTACGGTCTGATTTGATTTACAAGTTGAATTTTATAGTGTTTGCAACTTTAACCCCATTCACTGTTACATGCTGATTTCAATTAGGTATGACTTAAACCACAGTAAGGCATTTTCTAAATGTAGGTACTTATAATACACACAAGCATTTTCTACCAGCACAGAGTTGTCTAATGCAATGCCTAAAACCAAAGAGTTAAAAAAATAATAAAAGTGTTGTGGATTAGTGGTTTTTAGCAACTTGGTTTGCCAAGAAGCAGTATGGGGTCAAAGATGACTTTTTTAGATTTTTCTTTTTTTTTATGCATCCATAGAGCAGATTTAATTTGTAGGACACCCCCCTTCTAAGCAGAGAGCAAAGTAGGAGGAGATATGAGGAAACAGACATACACTCCCTAACTTGACCTAGATAAAAAAAAAAAAAAAATTATAAAGTCATTATTTTGTATTAGGCCTTCACTGAATACCTTGAAGGCTCCAAACTTTCTTTCTGCTGCTCGATTACCATGTTACATTTTCAGTGGTCTAGAAGTATTGGTGCGATTGACTGACATGATCCAGACAGAACAGCGGCTCTGCAGGAGACATGCGCAGTGACAGGAGGAATGGGAGCAGCAGATACTCACAAGCCTTGAGCACCCTTTTGTGACTTAGCTTTGCTAAAGTAGCTATCTAGCTAGTGTATTTAGTATTTATCTATCTGGTAGTAGAATCTAGTAGTGTACTTAGTTCTTTGTGCGTAGTTCAAATGTTCCATGTGGATTTACTTTTTAGATCTTTTGGATTTATTTTTTATTAGAAGTTCTAAGTTTGGAAATACACTGTGACGTTTTTGGACCTTGGAATCACTGTAAATTTGGTAAGTGGACCTTTTGAGTTTGCAACTGAGTACCCCTGCTTTATGATTTAGAACACTGCTTAAAAGCCTGTAATAAATCATTAATATTATTTTAATTAACTAGCATATTATTTTCTTAATCCCATGAGGGCCTCTGTCTCACATTATATATACAATAATATAGTATCCTAATATATTATGATTATAACATATTATTATAATAATTCTGATCAATTGTAGCCTATAAAAAAATTATATATATGTTATATAATATGCGGCCCTGACCAACACTGATTTTATAACTTCTGCTCCTCCTCCTATATGGGAATACTAAACACACACAGCCCCAATAGGGTTCTGAAGTCATTAATGCAAAGAAACATTTTTTATGGGATTTGTGCACAAAAGTGAAATCTTTCTTACACCTCACTCATGTAATGTTAATGGGAGTCCAAAGGAAGGAAAGACCAAAGAAAACTGTACCAAATGGAGAAACCCACATCTTTAAAACCTGATCATTTGGAATAATCTTGAGTATATTTTAGTACCGTATTTTCCAGGTGATTAGGCGTTTTCCCAAACTTTTTTCACATATAAACCGCACCGGACTATAAGGCACATTAAACGAAACACAACAGTTAGGTAAATCAGTCAAACTTTATTTAACGCTTTTACTCCTTACGTTAACTCTCAACTTTGTTAATTTGTAACACGTAAAAAACAAAAAAACTGTCTGAGACCGATAAATTGTCAGCGTATTCACAATAACTCATAATACGGTTATAACTAAAAATAACACATTAGGGCGTTATCACATAGTTCGATTATTTGGTCCGCACCAGGCAATAAAATTGTTATTATGTAGCAAATACACTCCAGTGTGGTCCGCGTTCACACCAGCAAACGAACCAAAACTGGTTCGATTGACGTGTCTCTGTTTCCCGGGAAAACAGCGATACCTCCAGTTACCAACACCGATGTTCCTGTTAATACCACGGGCCGTCCTCATCTCAAATTATCACCATGAACTCATAAAACAGCAACATGTAGAACTTTGTACAAACTCACTGCATCAGCCCAGAGTTCGGGTAACAGCAGCAGCCAACAGCGCTCACAGTAGCACGCAGCTCCTCAGGACGGTGCTGGGGTCTGGTCCTTGGTCTTCTGTCGTCCTACAAGCGCGTTGGTCAGATGGTCCGGAGGCTCCATCCTCCATGTGCTGGTACCAAACGGTGGCGAGCAAGACCAGTGCTTGATGGACTGAGTCCGAGCGGGTACGTTCCGTCGTCAGTTTCCGTGCGGGAAAAGCAAGAATGCGCTGTGGACTACAGGTCCGGACGGGCTGCTCTGGTCCTCCGCACTCAAGAACCGCGGCTGGTTCCGAGGTGGTGCAGCATCCGGACAGAAGCGTGAGTCCAGTTTGGTTTGTTATATTGTAACGGCAGTTATGAAATGAAAACCGTAAGAACAGGTTGGCTCGTACTTCAGCTTTAATAGAAGCGGCAAAATAGCAACAGTGCAGGGTTAAGTTTCAAACACTCCTGCCTAACTCATGGTCTGAACGCTCCCCCACGAAAATGACTGCCTGTCAATAACTAGCCCCAAATAAAAACAATCCCATAAAGCATTGCGACAGTTTGTAGGTCGCTACACAGCCCCCCCCCACTAGCACGATTAACTGTCCCCAGTTAGCTGTCAACAACAAAGTCACTCAGATGTGAGGGGAGTCTCCGTTGCCTCCGAGGGCGATGCGGTGACTTGCCATTGGTGGCTGCCGCAGGGCTACTTGATGACGACTGGATTTGGTCTCCTGAAGCCCGCACTGTTGGAACCAAGGGCTGGTAGGGGGCAAGCCGATCTCGGTGAAGAACTACAACCCTACCCCTCTGAGATAGTTTCACCTGATACACAACATCTGACAGTCTTGCAAGGACAACACATGGCCCCACCCAATGGCTACAAAGCTTAGGCGAGTGTCCTTTCTTCCTAACTGGGCTATAGACCCACACTTTATTACCCACGCTGAAATCCTGCCCCTTGCAGCGGAGATCATAAGCCCTCTTCTGTTGGATTCCTGCACTGGCCAGATGTTCCCGGCAGAGCTCATGGACTAATTGAAGCTGCTCCACCAAGTTGAAGAAGTAGTCCAGTCCAGGCTCCCCTCGCACTTCTGGCTCCGGGGGGGACCCAAAGACTAGGTCCACTGGAGTGCGTAGCTCATGGCCAAACATTAGTGCAGCGGGAGTACACCTTGTCGACTCCTGCACAGCAGTTCTGTACGCCCACAAGACCAAGGGGAGGTGACAATCCCAGTCCCACTGTCGGTGGCTGGTGAGGATGGCAAGCTGCGTGGTTAGTGTTCGGTTAAAACGTTCAACCAAGCCATCACTTTGTGGGTGCAACGGGGTGGTCCTGGTTTTCCTTATTCCCAGACGCTGGCACACCTCCTGGAACACCTTAGCCTCAAAGTTCCGCCCTTGATCACTATGGAGTTCCTCTGGCACTCCAAACCGACAGAAGAACTCGTCAACTAGTTTCTGTGCAGTGGTAGCAGCACTCTGGTCAGGAATTGCGTACGCCTCCGGCCACTTTGTAAAATAGTCCATAGCCACAAGAATGTACCAATTCCCTTGGTCTGTGGCAGGGAATGGGCCTAAGATGTCAACGCCCACCCTCTCCATGGGTGCACCCACCTGGTATTGCTGCAATGGGGCGTGGGACTGACGAATAGGGCCTTTCTGTACAGTGCAGGTATCACACCTGTGATCAAACATCTCCACGTCGCATCTGCACCCTGGTTGTCTAAGTCGCTGTAAGGTTTTGGTAACGCCAAAATGTCCAGCACCCACTGCCCCATGAACCCACTGAAGGACTCTAGCTCGCAGTTTATGAGGGACCAGGAGCTGCAGTATCTCTCTCTGTCCATTTGGGGAACTCCAACAATGGCAGAG